GTAAACCGCTTAGAGAGGGCTGAAAGCCCTATGAAGCGGTAGATAAGTCTAACTGCTGTTGCTATTGCTAAGATTAACAGGTAAAATACAGGAAGTCCTTCGGCCACCATCGAGCCCAGAATTTCTGTTATTGTTAAGTGAGACATTTGTTAAGTGAGTTTTGCCCAACGTTATGGTCTTTCTTGCCACCGTCGTTGGGTGAATCGTTGCAATTGTTAAGTTAGTAACGCTGATGGCTTCTTCCCCGTTGACGTAGCTTGTCAGAAGGTCTCCAAAGGGGACATCACGGCCGTCATAAGTATGTGACACTTGCCAAGCATCTGAGTTTTTATCGCCTGATCACGGGGATTATTAAGTGCAAAACAACAGTCATAAGTCACTTTTTTTCAGTGACGTAACTTTGAAGGGTCACTAAATGAATTGTTGTAAGTGGAGGACTACCGTTCCACCGTTTCCTCTCTGCGGCCGTTTGCATTTGACCGCCTCCCCCCCCGTCCCTTGTCTTAACAAGCTCCTTGGATGCTTGATAATTGACAGACAGACAGAAGCGAGGGAAATAATTAAGGTTCGCTCCAGTTTTTCCACAGAAAGGGGAATTGGGGGCTTTCTGGGACACCCACAACTCAGTGCCACAAAGTTTTGCAAGCCACCTGTGTCCCACAGCTGGAGGTCAAAGTTTAAAAATCACTTCACCTTGACAGAGGTTGGGGTTTTTTTTGCAGTTTTCGATAAGGAGGTTTTTTTTGGAGGTTTTAAATAGGCTCCTTCGTAATGCTCGGGTCTTTTGTCTGCTCTGTACCCCCGACCTCCAGTGAATCGCCTGGGCGATATCCGTAACGACAACGACCCCAACTGCACTTACGAAGGAGACAACAATGTTTTGTTGCAGCAAACGAGCAACTACCTGCTGCGCTTGATGAGCGAGAGATCCCAAGGTGAGCGGGGGGGGGGGAGGACTGGGGGTCGGCCGTGCTCGGAGCTCAGCAAACGCAGAGAAAATAGCAGCCGACGTTCACCGGGTCTCAGAGTCGCAGCGGCCGTAACTCTGGGTGCATTTTGGGTGAGGGTTTGGATTTGATGTCTCTGGCGTTTCATCTACAGGCCATCCTGTTTCTTCGCCCATGGGGTCGGTGGATTTCTTAAGTGATTATGATGGTATTCTCTGCCAGAACTTCGTGGTTCCGGATTCCCAGGGCCTCATGGACTCTTCAGGTAACTGCCTTTGCCCTTCTGGGATGGGCTGCAGGGATCGTGGAAGGTTCTGGAGGAGAATTCTTGGGCTGGTGGACAGCTCATCATCAGCTGTGTGGCTCAAAGTGGCCCAGCGTGTCTCCTGAGCAAGGGGGCCAGTGGGAGGCGGCACAGGGCTTGGGAGGAAGGGGGAGGCAGAGGGGAATCATCAGAAGGGCGGCTTGAAGACATTCACAGTTTGGTTCCTGAAATGAAGAGCCTGTCGGGCTTCCAAACAGCATCCGAAAGTAAATCAGAGTCCAAGGCAAAGGATTCCTCAAAGTTCCATGTTGGCACATCTGGGGAAACCTGAATCTGAAAGCTTCCCGGTTCTCCCCACCCAGTTGAAAGTTCAAGATCTTTCCCCCCACACCCACAAGTCCATCCCATGGTCCAATCTCCCACTGCCACGCTGGCAATTTCCACTCATCCAATTCCGGTCAGGTGCAGAGACAAAGGATGACCTTGGCTTTCTAGAAAGAATGTTGTTATGGCTACATCGCATCTAGTTCCATACAATCCCCCCTCCCATTTTCCCACAATAGAAAAGGCATAGGAAAATAATAGAAACTGTGGCGGGCCAAAGATCCAAAAGGAAAGATGGCTGCAGGCCTGACAGAGCCAGGGTCTTGGTGCATGAACTTCCTAATGTTTGTGAAAATGAGTTCGTCTCCCTGGGATCTGTTGGTCATGATGCCTGTTGAGC